GCCCACTTCTCGAGCTTGTCCAGGTCCCTCTGGATGGCATCCCGTCCCTCTGGTGTGTCGACTGCACCACTCAACTTGGTGTCATCTGCAAACTTGCTGAGGGTGCACTCAATCCCACTATGTCATTGATGAAGATATTAAACAGTACCCATCCCAATACGGAGCCCTGCAGGACACCACTCGTCACCAATCTGCATCTGCTTTGCATGCACAAATGTGCTCTTTCTGTGTTGCATACATGTGCACAAGTGCAAAGAACTGTTTTAAAGGCAGTGCTTTGTATATATATTTTTGACTGCCTTACTTCATAGATCAGAATGAGTGAGTTTCTTTTACTAGAAGTAAATATGTACGTAGATGATTCCCCCCCCAAGCTATCCATTGCTTGAGTGAAGATAGAGGGACAGGAGATGCTTAGAAAATATGATAGTAATTGGTGGCTGTAATTCCAGGGCCTGTAATGAGACGCTGTTTTAATCTGATACTTTTTCAGTGCTGTTTCTTAGTCTCATGACCACCCTTACTGTAGTAAGAGAGTGCACTTTGTGTGGCACAGAACAGATAAATACTTGTTGGTCCCCCCCCCCGTTTTCCCCCCCGTTTTTCAATATAAAAATAATGCTTCTGTTTGTTTGTGCTTCCTTTTACATACTTGTAAATATCTCCAAAATTGTTCCTGTAATGTTTTTCTTTCCAATTCTGTTTTTCTATCTTTAAAAATGTATTTCTACTTAAATATCTTTTCATTTTAGTGATGCCAATGCTGATTTTTAGTAACAAGGGAAGAATTTCCTTATTGGTAAGCAGAGTTTTCTGATTTGTGGAGCTTCTAAAATAATTGTAGATCAACTGACTGGAAATGAGCCTAGTAAAATAAAACTGAAAATAGTTTAATTGGCTCTATGACCATTAGTTATGTTCTCAACATAGTCTATTTGTTGTTGGATTAAGAAGATAGATTGGGTTTAAAAAGGGAAATGTTGATCTGTAAAGGCCAGTCAGGCACCTTTTTTTTCCAGAGATGATTGTTTATTTGTTCAAATGTATGTAGGTATGCTAGTCTGCAAAGTATCTATGAAACCTGTTGTATTTAGTTTTGTTTTATTTATGATATATATAAAACTGTCTGAGAGATGAGGGGAAAGGACCATAACTTCATGAGAAATGTTTCTTTAATATACAGAACAGAAACAACAGGAATTGGTTTTGTTTGTTAATACTGGAAGACCTTTATGGAGACCTCATCAGATCTTGAAGTCTGTGAATCAGTATAAGGGGCAAGGTGGTGAATACTTTTTTTTTTTTTTTAAATTATATGGTTAGTGTCCACCATTTGTTTTAGAATCATAGAACAGCCCAGGTTGGAAGAGACCTCAAAAGATCAGCTGGTCCAACCTTCCATGGGAAAAGGAGCCTAGATGAGATTATCTAGCCCCCTGTCCAGTTGCGTCTTGCAAACCTCCAGTGATGGGGACTCTACTATGTCCCTGGGGAGGTTGTTCCAGTCATTGATTGTTCTCACTGGAAGAAAATTCTCTTACGTCTAAACGAAACCTCTCCTGGTGCAACTCTTGTCCGTTGCCCTTTGTGTTCTCTGTGTGACTTCTTGTGAAGAGAGAGCCTCCGTCCTCTTTGTAGCTGTCCTTCAAGTACTGGAATGCTGTGATAAGGTCCCCCCTGAATCTTTCCCAGGGAGACAAGACCTAACTCCTTCATTCTTCCCCCATAGGGCAGGTTCTCCAGCCTTTTGATTGTCTTCATGGCCTTCCTTTGGACCCTTTCCAGTCTGACCATGTCTTTTTTCAGTTGTGGGGACCAGAACTGGACACAGTACTCCAGGTGCAGCCTGGCAAGCAATGAGTAGAGTGGGATGATCACATCTCTGTCTCTTCTAGTAATGCTCCTGCAGATGCAGCCCAGGATCTGATTTGCCTTTGTTGCTGCAGTGGCGCACTGCTGACTCATGTTCAGCTTGTTGTCCACCAGGACCCCCAGGTCCCTTTCAGCAAAGCTGCTCCCCAGCCACACAGATCCTAGCCAGTACTGGGCTCTTAGGTTATTCCGTCCCAGGTGCAGGACCTTGCACTTGTCTTTGTTTAACTTCATGCAGTTCTTGCTAGCCCTCTCTTCCAGGCTCTCTTGGTCTCTGTGGCTCTCCCTTGTGACATGTCTACCTCATCATCTAGTTTAGTGTTGTCAGCAAATGTGGTGAGGGTGCTTTCAATCCCATCATCCAGGTAATTTATGAAGATGTTGAACATCATGGGGCCTGGTATCAATCCCTGGGGGACCCCACTTGTGACAGACTGCTAGCCCTTTTTATTTAGCAACTACTTAGTTCAGTTGAAAAACTTCAAGCAATTAAGTTCTATTTCAGTTATTTGAAAGTTTATAAAGTAGAGGTCTGACTGTGATGTTGCTGAATCTTCAGTCTCCATCTCATGTTTTTCTGTAAGAATATTTTGTTTGTGCTCTTAATGCTGCAGCCTGATCTGCTTAGTAAGTAGCTGATCAAGCTGTATTGCTGATAAAGCATGTCCTGACCGTTTTTTAAACTGTGATGCCAAGTTCTTTTCAAATCATAAAGATTTGGTCAGGTTTTTTTTCTAACAAGCCTCTTGGATATTCAGAGATTTCTTCAACTAACAAAAGGGAGGTAAATCGTAGTTCTAAGCAGGCAGCGGTGTTGCTGGCATTCTGCAAGCCAAATAATGAGCAGAGAGTTACAAAGCCTATTCGGCAAAGAAAGGGCTGTATGTAAGAATGAAGGCACAAGATAAAGAATAATCCCTAAAAGATATTCTGGAAGACATGCCTTTGTACTCAGTGACAACAGCTGGAAATCCAGTTTACAGCACAAAAGCAGTTTCTTCTGTTAGAAGTAGCAGGAAATGAAGGCGGCAACACTGAACTAAAGCAGGAGTTCTGAGAGCAATTACTAGAAATATAGATGAAATTGGTAATCTAACATTCATTTTGCAATATTATTCAGTCAGGCTGTTTTGTGTAAGGTTTATACAGCAGGAAATACTGGATTTTTCCTTTTTTTTTTTGTAAAATTTAGTGATAGGTGTCGTTTTTTTTAAAAATCCATATATCTGTTGTTCACTGGACAATTGTATCATCTGTGCACTTTGTTCACTATAGTGTCTCTGTTTATTCATGCTCAAAAACTATCTATGCTTGTAGTTTGGCTTAAAAACAAAAAATAAGATTGCAGTGTGCCACTGATACAGTATGCTAAATAAATTTATCCTGATGGGTAATATAATCATAATGTGATGGAAAAGTTTTTTGCAAATACAATATGGATTAGTACAGCTTTTCTTTGCTAGCTAATCACAATTATTCTCTGTTTATTCATGCTCAAAAACTATCTATGCTTGTAGTTTGGCTTAAAAACAAAAAATAAGATTGCAGTGTGCCACTGATACAGTATGCTAAATAAATTTATCCTGATGGGTAATATAATCATAATGTGATGGAAAAGTTTTTTGCAAATACAATATGGATTAGTACAGCTTTTCTTTGCTAGCTAATCACAATTGTTACTTCTCTAACTTACTGAATAAAATAACCACTCTAGGAAAGCTGAGAAATGATATATCAGCTTGAACATACTAGTTGTGTAAGAGAATAGGCTAAAATTCTTTTTAATTCAGAAGTGAGTTTTTATGAACTAGTTTGAGTACAATTCTGTGGCTTTAATTTGTTTTAAAGTCTCCACATTTTTACTGGGATTAGAATTATTTGAGGTAAGTGATTAATTATATGGCAATGCTATGGGAAAAGAAGTGAAAAGCTTTTTTTTAATGCAAAATATAATTAGTGCTGTAAAATGGAAGGAAAAAAAATTGAGTGCTGAAATATCTATTATAGAACACTCATGTTTTCAGTAAATAGAAACCAATTCAATGATGCCATTCCACCACCTTTCCCACATATGTGTGAATGATGCTTGCTGCCCACTTTTTTCCAAATATGCTCAACTGCACAAAGAAACTGGTAAATTGCTGCTGAGATTTGTTATTCTTAATTTGTCTGTAATACTTATTGAAATTGATAAATACTTCAAAAGTCTTAGTGTGTGACTGTTTGCTTATAGGACACTGCTCTACAAAAACCAAGAGAAGTTTTCAGGCTACCTACGGACTTGACAGCTTGTGATAATCGCCTTTGTGCCTCAATACACTTCTCATCTTCCACATGGGTTACCCTTTCTGATGGTACAGGAAGACTGTATTTAATTAAATCAGGCAAGCGTGGAAACAGTGCATCTGAAAAGTGGGAGGTAAGTTGTGCAATAACATATTTAAGAATTGAACATCTACCAAATAATTCTCACTCTTGCATTTCTTATGAGAATTGCACGTATGTAATGTTGTAAAGAAATAAGCTTTAAATCATAACTGTATCACTGATACAGGATTGTGTTAAAGTATAAAAATCATTGGTTTTTATGCTAATGACTAAATTAGTGATTTCTTTATGCACAAAATAGCTAAAATTCAGGTGTTTGAAAGGGAGCAGCATTTTGACTGAAGAAGAATCTGTCTAAGTAGAATCACAGAATCATTGAGGTTGGAAAAGACCTCTAAGATCATCGAGTCCAACC